AAAAAAATACGATAGTTTGTAGTGGAAGTCGGCTGACGCGGTATAAAAAGGTGTTGATCGTAGGTATAGTTCAAATCAAAAAGAGAAATCTCGGAATTCGCTGTGATTAAACGTGAATTGTGAAAGTTTGTTTTAAGTTATAGGGACTGAATCTGAGTGTACAATAATTTTATTCCCGATTTGTAGCAAATTGGTGGATTTTTGGATTTAAGGCTGTCCGTCGGTTTCTTCTTTACGTGTACCTAACGAGTTCGTTTCGATTTCTTTCTCTTCCTCTGTTCTAAGAATTAGTTTCACGGATAGGAGTTATTACAGAGGAGACATGGAAGTATATTGAGTAAAATAAGGAGAAAAGCACAGCAGGAGTCATTCCATCGGTCAACATTATCGACTAATCAATGAGTCTGTAATGAGATGCATTTTGATTTATACTCTAGGCTGAATAGAGCTCATGTATTGATCCTAACCCAATGAGAAGAGAAAATTAGTTAAGAACCGAGAAAAATTTGAATTACGTACGCGAAAAATTTCACAAGATGAAATTTTATCGCCGTTATTATGTCAAAATGATTCATTAAGTTTGCTGAGCTTAAAGTGAAAAATCTGGGGACAGAATTGAATTATACCTCACTCTTATATCGTCCTTTTTTGCGAAGGAAAACCATGTATAACATTCAAATTATTGCGGCTTATACTGAGGATAATTATACTAAGGACCAATGCGTATTTTACACTAAAAGTTGCAAAGCAAACAAGATCTGAGGACAGTGGCGATTCTGATGTTTCCCCGAAAATTCCACCTGTTGCTTTGCAAACGCGCTATTAATTGCGATTCCAGAAATGAAATTCACACTATAGATGACGATTTTGTCTGGCAGGAGCAAATTTTAAGTGTTATATATAATTTTTCCCCAGATTAAAATGTTCCCCATTTCTTGAAAATAATCACTTTCGAGCTCTGTCAAGTTTCATAATCATACTGTCTAGAAAACTTGGACTAAGTTTTCATAATATCTTTGAGCTGAGGTATATGTTTCAATCTCTGAACCCCCAGAGCTACATGCCTCTTAGAAATCACCACATAATCAGCCGAAAAATCAAGTCTCTAACAACTCGAAAGAATATTGAACCGAAAGTTTTCTCGTTATAAAAATGTTTCCCCCATCTCCGCTTGTATGTCTCAATAAAAACTGAGAGCTTTGTTCCCTTTGTTTTTACCGCGGCATATAGTAAGGCATGAGTTTTGATGAAAAATATTTCCAGAAACGCATATTCCGATAAAACAGAAAGAAAGAAAAAATAAAAAGCTGCGTAACTTTTTGAAAACACATACTGCATAGTTGAAAATATTTAAGGAATGCTGTTCATTTTTGTATGCTCCTCTTGGTACATTTATTGAAACTTGATGACGTGTATATAAAAATCCAAAGTCGTTAAATTTGGCGTTCATGTCATATACGCTCTGTCTCGTTCATTAATGCAGCATAATAAAACAGAATTCGTCGAAACACAAGTTTTGTCTTGGGAGAAATGAATATCTTGCAAGTCAGTCTTGCGATTTTGTCAGAAGTTTTTTACTGTTTAATAAGTAACTTTTGCATCCAACTTCTAAAGTATTTTTCGGTAATTTCCCCACTAAGATTCAAAACATTTTAAAGAATCTTCACACTGAAAAAAAAAACTCCGGCCATGGGAGCCGCAATTACGGGCTATATAGACATACCGTCCGTTCCGGGCTCAAAGGCCGAAAATTCCGGCTTCTGCAGGAGGCGTAGCTTCGATTGCTCCGGGTTCAGAGGCCGAGGCTACGGCTCCAGCAGCCGGAATTTTCGGCCTTTGAGCCCGGAACGGACGGTATGTCTATATAGCCCGTAATTGCGGCTCCCACGGCCGGAGTTTTTTTTTTTCAGTGTATATTCAAGGAGTCTCTCTCAAAGATTGACTTCTTTCGGGACCTGGTTGCATTATATAGTTAAATTGATGCTGTTTTTCTTGAATTGAGAAAGAAGCAAATGACATGAAAACCAAAATGCTAGGAAATGATTCGTATTTTATCGCCAACTAAAATCATTTACTTTCATCTTCAGAGGCATCAAGAAATTTGACTCGTGCAATTTTTACAATTAGGAAGTGCGTAACCTTAAATACAAATGCATTGAAAATGTTTACGTAAAAAGAGTGCATCCCCTCAAATGTCTCGGTGTGACGGAAACTGAAACGCGGAAGCATTAGCGGCTAAATGTGACTTTCCATCGTCCGACCGATAAATAACGACCGACTGTTCCTATCAATCGCTCAAGAGTGCGTCGAAAGAACTGGAGTAAACACACCGAATGAAAATAAACGTTGGCAATCCCTGAGCAAACAAATCGTCGTAACGGAGAACAGTAGCATGTAAAACTGACGTCACAAATCAAAAATAATCGTCACTGGATGTCGTGGATTCGTTGCCGAGAAAAAATTATGTGTGAAGCATAGGCGCCGAACAAGAAACATTATACATTTTTACCTTTTGTAACATATAGCGAAGTATTCACTTTTTAGTGCAATTTGGCAACGTTCCGGCAAGATAATACGCTCGAATAGTCTGGCGGTTCCAGTTCTTCGCTCGGGCGACGATAAATCACCGAGGCGACACGCATTGACAAAGAGCGTCCACTGATCTCAAAAGCGCAGGCAAGATGTCGACTTTTTGCCGCATCACCGGGCGAAGCCGCGGCCTGCCGAAACCGAATTATTTCCCCCTCCTCCCCCCGATCTCACCGGCCGACGCGAAAAGATTCTGCAAAATCACAGGCAAGGCCTACGGCTTGCCCAGCCACCACTTCACCCCCGTCCTGCTAGGACCGCGAAGAAACAAGGTCTCGCACTGTCACATCACGGAGAAATCAGAAAACCAGGACCCTCATCACTTTTTCCCGGGGGTCGAGCACACCATTCTCGTAGACTATCGATATGTGATACCGACTTTGGACGAGTCCCAGGAGCTGATAGCGATCCTGGCGACCAAAACCGTCGATAGCACGAAAATGTACGCGTATCCGGTCACGGACCGGAACTGCAGTCTGGTATTTCCGGCCAAGTTCGAGGCGGCCGTCCGTGATGGTGACGTGCGGGACATCATGCTGGCCAAAGACTCCGACCAAGTCTTGTTGAAGCTAAAGAAAGGGCTCAGCGTCACGGTTGGGTTCACTGAGATGCGTGACGTAAACGAGGCAGAGCTCTACGAAGGAGCTGGACCGAGCGAAGAGGTCCTGAATGAGCGGAAGCGGAAACGAAGGAGAACTGGAGGAACCGCCAATTGGATGAAGGAGATATTTGAAAAGAAAGAGAGAGCGGCGGAGGAAGAGGAGGAGGCATTGCAAATGCAAAAAAGTAAGGCTGTGAAAGTGAAGATTAGTAAAGAGTCTAAGACTGATCCATCTCCCAGTGAATGGAAGAGTGTTACTGTCGATAAAAGTATCTCAACTAGGGCTGTGCTATCAGATACCAGTACGACGGCTCTACAAGAGCCTATAGACGTGCAGAACGTTGAAAAATTACTGGAAGTCAAAGGTACACCCGTAGTTACAAGTCTTCCGAAACCAATCACAGCACAGCCCGAATGCGTCGATCTGAAGACTTCTTTGCCAGGTATCATCCAACAACCACCAGCAGCGTTGACGGAGAACACCATCGGGTTTGAGACGGCTCCTATTGCAGCTCCGTTCAAGCCTTTGACTGCAGAACCTAACGCAGAAGTGCAACAAGCGATCAAAGATATCAACGTTGAAACATTGGCCGAGACTGAGTTCGTTGCTCAGGTCTTCGACATGGACAAAACGGAAAATTTCAAAAAGCTTCCATTAAAGGGGGAAATCGCTGAGATTATAGAGAATCTCCACCTCGGTGTCGAGGAAACCTTGACAGACGAGCAAGGACACAAGATAAACGGATTGAAACTGGATATTGGGGCCGCGCAGAAGTTCATAGCGGGACAAACTGTGCAGACACCCTCCGGAAAGGTATTCGTGCCTGGGCAAACAGTGCAAACGCCTGCTGGGCCAGTTTTCGTTCCGGGGCTGGTATTGCAAACGCCTGATGGACCGCAACTACTTCCAGGTCAGCAGGTCATGGTGGAAAGCAATGGAGTTCAAACTCCTGTATTTGTAGCCGGGCAAACTTTACCAACGAGAGGAGGAGAAAAGTTCGTGTACGGACAAATGTTATCATGTGAGGATGGAACCAAATTTGTGCCTGGACAAACGGTCTATACTCCAGACGGACCTATCTTTGTCTCGGGACAGGTTGTAGAGGAAAATGATGAGGTGAGATTTGTTCCAGGACAGACAGTGATGTCCGCTACCGGTCCAACATTTGTGCCAGGGCAAAACTTCCAAAAGGGCGAACAGACAGTGTTCGTGCCCGGACAGACTATTTTAGACGAAAATAAAGGTTGGGACTTTTTGCCCGGACAGACTTTCACTGCTGAAAGCGGGGAGATGAAATTCGTCCCCGGACAAACACTCGAAATAGGCAACGTTAAAAAGTTTGTCCCGGGTCAGAGCGTGGTAGACGAAAGTGGCGAGACACAGTTTGTGCCTGGAGTAGCAGTTCAAAATGCGGATGGTGTCACAGAGTTCCTAGCTGGGTTAACAGTCGACACCCCCAATGGTCGGCAGTTCCTAGAAGGGCAAATCGTAAGATCTGAGTCTGGAATTTGCAGCTTCGTGCCAGGAAAAACAACTGTGTCGGAAAATGGAACAAAGGTACAATTTGCAATCGCCGAAACCGTCGCAGATTTGAGTTTTTCAGAGACCGATCCAATTGGCATTGAAACCAAAGCCTCCTTCTTCCCTACCAGTGAGAGCACTGATGAAGTTTTTGGACATATGGTTCAGACAGCACATGGCGTTGAATTTTTCCCTGGTCTGGCTGCTGGATTGCCCGAGGGAAAGGTCATCCCCGGCAAGTTGACCCGCGGCAAAGAGGTTAGATTCGTCCCAGGTGTGGTCGTCAACGAGAAATTCGTTCCTGGTCAAGTCGTGCAAACTGACAAGGGCGAACAGTTCATTCCGGGACAAGTAGTCGAAACTAAAGATGGTGCCAAGTTTGTGCCGGGACAGATAGTTGAAACCAGGTCCGGACCCAAGTTTGTTCCAGGTCAGACCATTAATACAGAGGATGGACCAAAGTTTGTCCCAGGTCAAATTGTAGAGACACGAGCTGGCCCAACGTTCATTCCTGGACAGATCATCTCTACAGAAGAGGAAGGATCTCGTTTTGTCCCCGGTCAAGTTGTCGAGACCAAGGAAGGTCCAAGGTTCGTGCCTGGTAGAGTAATTGAAACCGGAGACTGTGTTACTTTTGTACCTGGACAAGTTGTTGAGACCAGTGAAGGACTGAAATTCATCGCTCCTGACTTACAAAGCTCGCCTGAGGGAGATTGCGAATATACTGTGCAAGGATTCGAGGTAACTCCAGAAGAGCTCAGTATTTTGAACCTGAATGCTCTAGCTTCCCAAGCTGCTTCGTCGGCTGAAATGTCTATCAATTCAGAGATGTTGAAACAACTATCCGAAGCAGGCATGTCAATTGGGCGCTCCGTTCCCACAGAACTCCCCGTGGTTGACGTTGGTACTTTACCATCAATGAGTGCAGCATGCAGTCTTAGTGATAAAATGAAACTTGACCCCGTATCTACGGTCAAACTTAGTCAAGTATTGTCAGTGGTATCAACGTTGACTCTGAATGCAGAGACTGCGGAAGATGCAAGTATAGCTCAGACCTCAGAGAGTGTTGTGATTAATAAGATGTTAAATAAGATGAAACAGTATCAAGAGGAAGAAAGCATGGATATCATCTTCGAGGCATTGAGTGAAGTCTTGGAAGAAAACATGACCGGGGAGGGTGAAGAGAAAAAACTGCAAATTCTAGACGGTCTCTATAAGTTCATCTCGAAATCAGAGAACATAGCTCCTTTCCAACAACCGAAGAAGATGCTCACTCTGAAAAACGCATTAAATGCCGACATCGATAAGCCGGAGGAGATAATAGAAAAGTTGAGCTCAGTATTAAACGACGACGAGGCAGCGATATCATCAGCGTTCCAGCACATGACCAAGAACAATCCCGAATTATTACAGAAGGTCGTTCAACACGTCAATAAATCGTTGAAGGGCGTTAATGTTGACAAAAATGCATCGGATATTCTACAAAAAGCTATAATCGATTCCGTTCGAGAGTCAAGTATCGCAACTGTCAATGAAGTCTTACATAGCGACGACCGAAACGAATTTAAACAACTCATACTGCAAGCAGTTGGCCTGGCTCGTGCGCTGGGGATGACACCCGTCGTTGATGTACTGATCGACGTCATAACAGACCAAAAGTCGGCTGAAGTACTCTCTGAGGATCCAGTCACGATTGAAATACTTAGAAGATTGACAATAATGAAACAGCTGGCTGAGGAAAGACCGACTTTTGGTACAGCCCTGAAGCAACTTCAAAGTGACCCTGAGCTGGCGCGAACAGATCCCCGACTCAGACAGCTTGTCCGGGAGAGTGCAGCTCTCATGATCATCCCAGAAGAGTCAGTACTCCATTCATCGAGTGACATACCGACTGCTCTGTTCCATCCGAGCAACAGCTTAGCAATGGAGGACTTCCTAGCTAGACAGAAACATCGCGATCCGTTGTTGATAATCAAACACGGCCTACAAGCGGTCGTGCCGAGGGAGGTAGCGCACTCCGTCCTCACCGGACAAGTACCCTACACGGTTCTCGACGAGAAAGGTATATCGCACTTCGAACCAATGCACGTTCTGTCCGCCTTGCGGTTGCCGAAGCACGCCACCCACTGGTTCTCGATGTACGCTTGCACCATGCAGTTGGACGACGAGGAATCCACTCTAGCCAGCTCACTCAGCGTGGAGGATCTCCGAAGACCCAGTCTGGAAATGCGACGAATCAGCGTGGACAAGTTGAAGAAGCCCCCGAAACTCGTGAACGGCCACGGGGAGAAGACCAGAGATGATAGAGCGAAGAGCTCTAGCTCTGACGACGCGACGTTGAACAATTTGGACGACCTACGGAGAGGTAGCACCGGTGACGTGAGAAAACGGGTGGTCAACGGGTCTTCGCAACAGAATGGCGAGAGAGCCAAGAGCTCCAGTTCTGATGACGCAACTCTTGTCGAGACGATGGACTGCTTCCGGAAGCCGAGTATCGATAGCTTCTTGGACGCGGAGCTGTTGACGAATAAACTTGCGAACGGACACGCGGATCCGTACGAGTTGAAAGGTGTCCGCCTGGTTCGGGATTTCGACGCGAATGACGAACAGTGCAGTGAGGAGCACTCGCTAGTGAATGGTCAATCGAAGATCATATCTCCCGAAGACTTGAGGAGGAAGTCGTTCGACTACCTGAAAACCTACGGAACTTATAAAAAGCGACGGAGCAGTCGCCATCTCAACGGAACCTTGCAGGTGAATTTTAAACTTCCGTTTTTTTCTAACAGCAATTTTTCTTAAAAAATAAAGCTCAACGTGGTGTTTGTATTTTAATGCACACTTTTGACCAGTTTTAAACTAAAAATTTGGTTGTTTTTTTTTATTATTTTATTTTTACATCGGATTGTCTGCTCTAATACAAATTAAATATTGATGGTTAAGTCTTACATATCTGCAAAAAATGACGAAAGCCAGAACACTAAATTACTATGTACTCAGGGCCGGATTAAAGGGGTGGCCACATGGGCCGCGGCCCATGGTGGCAAGTCTATAGGGGGTGGCAAATTTTGCAATTTTTTTAAATGTACGTATAAAAAGATTCGGATTTAGAAAAAAAATTACAAACGAGAAAAGGCGACAAAATCTCTAAATTTCTGAGAGTGTAGTAATTTCTAATTTTGTCGTCCTTCAGTGATACAAGAGGGAGCACCTTTAATTAGTCGAGTCAAGAGAGAAACCAAACACGCAATTAAGCCTGGAACAGCGCTACTTACCGAGAGAGAAATGATGACGAGGACTTGAGATGAAAAGGAGAAGCCCTCGGCGCGGCGATCGGCATGTAACACATATTAGCGCCTACAGGACCTGCACGAATACTTCACGCATTGCATCAAACACAGTGCGGTCATTGCGGACAGTGTGAGACAGATAGCGCCTACAAGAATGCATGAATACCTCACGCATTGCGGCAAACACAGTGCGATCAGCGTGAGACGCATAGCGCCTACAAAACTGCGTGAATACTTCACGCATTGCGTCAAACACAGTGCGGTCTGCGAGGCGCGGCGGCGGAAGTTAAAGTCATTAATCCACATTTATGTCTGTTCTTTCATGATTTTTTCGTTTTTCTTATGAATGGAAGGCCTTGTCCACACAGAGATAGGTTTACGAAACTTAACTTTCGCGCAAAGTTCCGTGAACTTTTGCTAGTAGTGTTGATAGGGCTTTTCCAAAAAACGTGTTCAACACCAGTAAACTCGTCTTATGCACCCCTCCCCCGCTGCTACGTTCATTTGATGGTTTTCATTGATGTTTTAAAACGAATGAGAAGGGGGCGGCAAAATACTAGCGACCCATGGGCGGCAAGTAGGTAAATCCGGCCCTGTATTTACTTAATATTGACAAAGATAATATTATCTTTCAAAAAGCATAGTTGATGACGTCCACGTTTTGGTTAATATGGGTAGTGATTTTATTCATCCTTAATGAGAGTCCAATAATAATGAATGAAATTCGCACTGATTGCTCCACATTTGGATCTCATTTCGCAGTTGGGAACTACAATTTCTGAGTGATCCGTAAAAACACTTAAGTTCATAAAAAACCTAATGGTACATACATTGTTTCTAAATTGAACCAGAAATTGTAGTTCCTAATTGCAAAATAGAATCGATTTATTACTGATGAGACAAGGAGGGAAGAATTGGTGGATAGCGTTATCAGCCGTGTCTCTCAAAAAATGATTTCTCGGTCCATTTTCTATTAAAATATTTGACATTTCTAAACATCCCTCGCCAATCTATGAGCCATCGATGTAAAAAGCGATTCTATGACCAACCGATATTAGCACTCTTCTAACTTAATATTCACATCATGGTAATTTTGAGCCATCATAATATTATTCTCAATTTTGCACTATATTTTGCAATTCGGACTTACCATTTCTGGCTCAGTTTAGAAAGAACGTATACACCGTTAGTTTTCCTACGTTTTTACGAATGAGCCAGAATTTGTAGTTCCTAATTGCAAAATGAAGTCCAAATGAAGCGAAGATAAATTGAAGCACCCATCTTACTCTGTATATCATAGGAGTAACACATAACGCCTGAGGCTCGAGGTGCTTTGGGGGGTTGCATCACGAAGCAGTCCGAAGGCGTATAGCCTCCTTGTTTCAGAATAGTTGAATAAGAATCGTTTTGCCATCGATAATTTGTGTATTTACGTCTGTCAATAATGCGCGGTTAAAAAACTTGTATACATACTTGGGAAAAATATAGTTTAAAATTAAAATTGTACATTCTGTGTTTCATGAACGAAAAAAGTCAAAACCGCGTTTCCTCAGTTTCAATTTTACATGACTTGCTTGTGCTTCCTCTCCGCTAAAGTTGTCTAAATGCAATTTATCGTGAATTGTAGCTTCCTTTCATCACCTTTTTTGTTCACTTGTTCGTCAAGTAAAATCTCTGATGAGTCAGATTTTGCTTGTCACAAAATTGAAGCAACTTTTGGTGGATTGAAGAGCCAGTCAAGTAGTTCCTACTGCAACAACGATTCAAAATTTTCAAATTGAGTATAAAAAATTCGCCGTTTTTTGAGTCCATTTGAAAACATTGCTAAGCACCAGCCGACAGCCCTCTCGCTCTCACCTGCATTTTACGTAAACAGTCTGTCATCAGAGTTACATTGAAGTGAAATAAACAAATGTACCCTTCTCTTTGAATCAAGGATGCCAGATCTTTGCAAAACATTCGTGATTATCTGCTCAAATTTTCCAATTTTCTAAAATATTATTGAAAATTTAATGACATATAAGCATTGTTGAATCATTGCCGTTCAATACGCGTGTGTCTAGTTTTATGATCAATATTGGTGTTTTCAAGAAGTTTAGGGGTACCTTTGAAGTTCTCTCGCTGAAAGGGGACTATCATGCGTGAGATACACGATGCAGGGGTATATTAATCTTACGCAAACGCCTGAAATGTATTTGACATGTCTGGAACTATTTTTCTTTTTTTTAAAATCTCATTTCCGTCGCTTATTTTTTCGTGCATGCTAAATTTTAAGAATCAAGGATTAAGATGCGTCTCACATGGGTAAAATATCATTGAAAGTAACTACTTTGAAGTTAAATGCTCTAGCTCTGTGGAACAGAATGTACAAAGAACTTTACGAATTGCTAAAGAAGGCCAAATATAAGCATTCGGGCCAATACTTATTTTTAAAGATTCAATTTTCGTGTTCCAGTCAACGTATTATAGTAAATAGTTTAACTTACACGGTGAAAAAATTTACACCAGTGTCCGCACCCCTAGAATTTCGGCAGCTGGAGTCGAGATTTGCGGTCCCGGCTAACATTTTTACCGTGTAGGTTCGACCAAACAGTAACCATACCAACAACCTAAATTACCAAGGCACTAATCGCGCCTTTTTAGGTCCAAATTTTTAAAGAGGCTTTTTCTAAACCTGAATCTTGATCAACTTTTATGCACAATTTTCCAAAAACAATTTTTTGTTTCAATTGACCATTTTATTAAAAATAATTTGAACTTATCAGTGATTAAATGCATCCTTACGCGATTAAAGAAGAGATTAAATTTCTAATCAAAACGCTAGTATGAGGCTCCTCTTACAATTCATGAAAAATGCTATGGATTTTCACTAAAAGTTGGCAACATTGGCCTGGGGCCGTCTGCTTTCGATCCACTTTCACTCGTTCGAGCATCGCGTGAAATCGTAAAAAAGAGTTTTGGCAATGGTCTTGACTGTCCGTAGATTTTGGTCCGGACCGTTCAAAGCTCTCAATTTTATTTCCGCGCTTAGCACAGGAAACATACAAGCTTCAAAATTGCAAGTGACCCCTGACATCAGAATACGTTTAAATCCCCCCTCCACCCCGTCAACTTCCTTCCGAGTTGAATTATTTTATCGTCGTTTAATAAGACGCAGCTGTTTGTCACTCAGAGGAGCTGCACTGCATTGCAGTTGCGGCAGCACACTGCAACGTTGCCAAAATATGAGCCACCATTTCAAGTGCCCCATTAAAAGTCAAGAATTGAGGTAAATTATCCCTAAGAATTGCCAGCGTCCTGACTTGGAGAATTATTCTTCTTTTTTACACTACTGACCTACTCCGAGTTTGGATTTCCGTGTTCGTTAGATTTATTTTGGGTTCGAGCCTCGTAGACGCATAACCCTTCAGATTCTTCGGGAATGGATTTCAAAATGATTTTTATGTGGCACAAATAGCTTGTGCTAAAGCTGATCTTTAAAAAAAAAGTTACGGACGTTTTTAAACGCAACAATCCAAACTTATTAGATAAAAAAGTATAAATAATAACGCATTTTCTAATGAAATGGCTTTGGGAGGTACGCATCCTCATGACTCTTCTTATACTAAAAAAGATTCGCATAATAACGCCAATATCCGATGGAGGATTAGACTCCTACAATTACATTTGGAAACCAATGTTGAAGCTCGGTATAAGTGCCTATATTCAACGTGCGTGGAACTAGGATGTAAGCCAATTTTTGAATGTTCTTAAAACTACTATGATAAATTCAAAAGAGGATTTGCAAACGCAGTCCTCTGCCCGTTTTTCAGTTCAATAACAGAGAAAGAAATGGAAAAAATAACCCCTTCAAAAGAGGGGGTGATTTATGCCCAACAATTATCATACCTAAGCTTTCCCCAAAACATTGCTTTATTTAGCCGCAGATTTTGTTGAGTGATTTGGATGTTTCATCAACGGATCATCATTGGATGGTTTTCATCAATTTTCACTCGGCAGGATATCAATTTGATTTTAATTTGCATTCATGATGAAAGTAACAAACTCATCTTAGCACAAAACAGTTGCATGACGTTTTTGGATCATAGATGCAGTAGGAAGAGAAAATGTTACAGGAGTTTAAATCACTATACAAGTAGTTGCGAATATGTAAAATTTAAAAATTTTAAAAAATTTACGAAAATTTAAAAACTTTTAAAAACAAACTTTCAAAATCCATCAGTTGCGTGCAATTTTCGATTTTTTTTCCAATTTTTCAAAAGAAACCGAAAATTTTATGCAAGTGAGTGATTTTAAAAGTTTGTTTTTAAAAGTTTTTAAATTTTCGTAAATGCTTTAAAAATTTTAAATTTTACATTTGCAGTAGGAATTCACGTCGCTCAATTTTCCCGGCAAAAAGCGCGATAAAGAAAACGAGCGAGGTCACCTCACTATTTAACCTCATAGTCTTGTCTTGTCCAGTAGACGAATACGTTTATATACTCGCTTCTTGAAGACAGCATGTACGTATCTCTCTTTTTAAATCAAGCTGTTTACGACGCCAAAATGTACGATTTGTCACGAAAAACGCAGGACGGCGTCACGTCCAGGCTTGGAGCTCTGTTTTTAGCTCCTCTGGCAAAAAGCACATATTTTCATTTCTGCATGAACCCTGGAAAGTACGGAGTTATACGGGAAACAGGACTCATTCCTAAATGTAGTTATGCTCCCACGTCAGAGGAGCGACGTGCTCACCCATGTGGGTGCTCCCGTCTTTTTCCTTCGAGCCCGACGTCATTATGAGGCAGGAGGACAGGGGTCTTAATCTGCCGGCGCTTATATTTCGCTTGTCATAACACCGGAGGGAGGAGGAAGATATATTTTTGAGTGCCGGTGCATCATTGCCGAAATTCTGACAAGAGCCCTGAATTTTAAAGACAGGCGCACTTTAATCGGGACCTCATTTCGTCGTCTCCTGGACAAAAGAACGTAACTCTATTCCAATGTTGACAAATTTCCCCTCGCAAATTGCCTATCAATCAAGAGAATCTTGGGCATTTCCGACTGAAAATTTCCCTGATTTTTCTCCAGATTCCAAGCAAAAAACAGAGATATTTTGGATACAAATTGCTGACGTACAATTTCGTAAAATAAATTAATTGTTTGAGTCAATTTGGCAACCTTGGGATGGAGTTACGTCCCTTCGTTCGGGAGACGACGATTTATCAGACAGATACCAAGTGGGCAACATTAATCTGAAGGGAACCGATTCCAAGGAGCAGAGCTATATTTTTTCTGAGAAGAATACAGGGTGTCTAAGGTGTTTAGCAAGGTTGAATCGTCACACCAGAGGAGTGTGTTCTATGCTCGAAATAAGACCTATATTTCCTCCATAAAGTCTCTCCCCCCACAGTGACCCAAGTTAAAGCTACTCGCTCCCCTCAAACTGAAGGGAAAAACAATGTTTTTTCTTAATTTTGACAACGTTTATGGACCAAAACTTATGGAAAATGACCATGCGACATAATTCTAAGTGCTGAACTCATCTATGGCCTTAAAAATCTCGATATGTTCAAATGGAGGGAGGTATGGAGGGGTCTTGTATCATTTATGGTGAAAAAATTTAATTCCTCCCTCTTAGACTCACTATAGCCCCCGCATATAACCTACTGTTTCAATATTTTTGAGGCCATCGATGATTTGAGCGCCAAAATGTTTTGAAAACACCCATTTTTTAAGAATTTTGGTCCATGACCATCGCCAACACTCAGCCAAACCGCCGATTTTCCCTACAATTTGTGGAGGGCTGCGTAGCTCTGAATTAGGGCACCTTTGAGGAAAAACTTAATGAAGGAATAATGTCTTGCTTTCAGTCAATCTCTGTAATTCTTTTTCATGAAGTCAAATTAAAAATGTTCTAAGGATGAAAGGTACCGAACATATAAAAAGAGTAACTCAGTGTAGCTTTATTTCCTCTGCGAGAGATTGACCGATCCTTTCCGTTAAGATAACCGCAACTTATGAGTTATTAACTTAACGTTGCAATGACGCCTGCACATCATAGCGTATACTCAGGCTAGAGTACCTGTATAGCGAGAGTATGGACAGATGTGAAACTCCGAAAATCCATCAGGCCTTCACCGATGCTTATGCGAATAAAGTTAGGGCCCAGAAATGCAGCCAACCTATGAATTTCAATCATCCAGAACGATTTACTAATACTATTGTTACGAACCGTCGTTTATAAAGCACGTATTTGACTCAGTTTTTGCATAAATTTACTCATTTTTGCGAAAGAACGCTCATTTTTGTACATCTTGGCCATTTTGGTTAGAATTGGAATTTGCAGACTCTGCAGACTGGCAGTGAAATTTTGTGTGTTAGAAGTTGTTTAGAAGGATGGCTGCACTTTTGGGCCCTAAGACCTCCATGAAGCAATCTGTCCATATTCTCGCTATACAGGTACTCTAACTTAAGCTACCCTCACTAGCTAACTTAAAATTTTGAGATCTTTCTGTTACGTAGATCTGAAGTGGTTCATCGCAGCCCGTGCTGAAAAGTAGATTGTGTCTTATTAGTGCTGTCTGAATGTGTTCGAAAGCGTCACTAATTGGCAACATGGTTGCCGAGGACGCGTTTGAGCGGTAAATTATAGCTACTATTTATAATCTCATATCCATATCCTCATCTCCCGCCTTCCTGCTGTATCCCGCTAATTCAGTCTGCCACTCTCACCTACTGCAAGTGCTGTGTTCCGATCGCTCAATCCTTGCCAGTCGTAAACGTCAAACTAACAACGATGCACATTCGATGAGCGTATGCCAATTACGAGCCACACAGGACCTCCTTTAAAACAAAAGAAGGCGGCAATGGGCCGCCGTTGAAAACGGTGAGAACCGGAGCAATTTAGGATCTATCTATACTTTCTCAAAGCTTATTTTCTCATCGAAATTCCACGTAGGATGTGCTGTAATTTTTGAAATAGTTCATAATAGATCTATCTTAGCGTCTCGTACAGAAAATCAACGGCAAAACTAGGTACCATCCTCCGTATCTCGTTTGCGGTGATGTTGAGTTGGAAAACTACTTAAAAAATAAGTATGACAGGAAATCTTAAGTGATCTGGTAAATTCACCGTCGATATTCACCTTTCAGTCGCGAGGCGTGAATGATCGATTATCGATACTTCCCCATTTGCATCTATGGTAAAAGATCGATTATTAAGGTGTTCGTCGCCAACACTCTGTCTATCTATCCTTTTCTATGGGTTTAAATGGCAGATCGATCGATGTATCGCAAAGCACCCCACATTACCGGTAGTACCGCATTAACCTAACTTGAGGTACCTTTGTATTCCGATCCTCTTGTTCCTGAAATGTTTTGACCTTTACGTATTGATGGCTTTTTCGGAATTAATGAATTCCATCTTCAGATCTCCTTCTGGGATCATTGATCACGAACGTGTCGAAACAAGTAGTACTTTATAAATAAACATAAAAATTGCATAAGCACAACCGCAGAATCAGTTTTCTCGCCGCCGGAGTCGGTGACCGTGCATATTCAGATTTGGCGCGCAAATCGCGGCTTTCAGGAGTGTCGGATTAGCAGAATGCCGCTAGATGCTTATCAAGAAGAAAGTCGCTCAAATCAAGCAAAGACCCGCTCGATTCAAACGATGCCATACTTAATTCAAGAGTGAAGAAAAAACCTTAAGAAGTGGCCCGAAACCTGTATGTAACAAGGTGGAGAAATGGTGCTGGGTCCACACTATTTCGTAGGGAAAACAAAGCCAAGAAGTTCCAAAAATTAAAATTAGAGTCAAAAATAATTTTTTTGAACTCTAATGCGCACCAGTACGAAACTGACTCTAATTTTAATTTTTGGAACTTCTTGGCTTTGTTTACCCCACGAAATGGCGTGGACCCAGCACCATTTCTCCACCTTCTTAATTCAAGAATACATACTCTTGACGGAATACTCAAGTATTTTATTTTTTTGCATAGTGGTTAGAAGGAAAAATAGTAACCAAGAACGTATCATATTTCTGTTGCAGAGTACAAGAGACATCTACCTTGTGATCGAAGACTATGTTCCCAATCGAATTGAAGAAATCACTTTGCACAAAGGTGACTTAGTGGTTGTTATCGACACTGGAGAAGAACTTGAAGAAGAACCAAAGTAAGTGCATTCCCAGATAAAACAATCCTGCTTCAGTGCACGTGGCATCAAGCTGACTGAATTTTTGTCAACCTTTTAAAACCAGACTACTCATATGGGGAGAGCGAGGGAATAATATAGAGCTCTTAATTATTATTTAATATTTACCTTAATATTTACAAAACACACCTTATATTTTCTTATTACATGTGGCTACGCTGACTACGCGAGTTTAAATATTAGAGCCTAACATAGAGAGCGGGGCAGCGTGCTGTAGGTTCGAGACGCACACTGACGCCTACAAACCTACGGGGATTCTTCACGCATTGCGCAATGCTTGTAGTATTCCTTTAGGTTTGTAGGTACCAATACGACTTTCCCCGGCCGCTCGCCGCGCCGGTACCTCAGGCAACTACATATTTAACAACAGAGGTGTTGCACAGTATCATACCAAATGGAAGGAGCTCCAAAATATTAAGAAAGACAGGCATCCTTTGAGAGTAACTAGTGACTGCGGAGCTTTCAAAATCATGAGTTGAAAAACGCTGACTCTGTGAGTATAAAAATTAGAGCCTAACACAGAACTGAGCGGCGTACTACCGGTGCAAAGCGCGCACTGGCGCCTACAAACCTAAGGGGACACTTCACGCAGTGCGCGATGATTGAAGTATCCACTTAGGTTTGTAGGGGCCAGTGCGCGCTCCGCGCTGGCCGGCCGAACGCCGCGCCGCAGCGTGCCACGTCGCCTCAAGCAACTATTTCACAACAGAGATGATGCACAATTGCACAGTATCATATGAAATTGAAGACGATCCAACATACTAAGAATTTCCGACATTCTTTGAGAGTATAGAACTTTCCTCGCAAAATAAATCCAGATACTACGACACAAAAAGAAAGTGGTAGTCCCAAAACTCACTAAGTTCTAGCATCCGTATTTGATATCATTTAGCATAATTTTTGAATTTCATTAGAGAAAAAAGAGACTCAATGTAGGCAGAAAATTTTTTGAGTATGCCGTCAAGAGGATTTTATTTTGAATGAAGAATAAAATAACTGAATGAAAGCGGGGCTCTGCTTCATGTAAGTGACTTTTATTTTATACAAGCATCTTTTCTTCTTTAAACAAGCATTATTTTCTATATTGATTCATTAGGAAATCTTCTCGGCGGTGAATTTGAGCATATTTCTGCATGAACCAAGTCACTTTTTTCTCTAATGAAGTTCAAAAATCATGCTAAACGTTATTGAATACAGATACTAAAATTAACTAAGTTTTTCAACTACTGCTCTCTTTTTATCGTCGTCACTCGACTTAATTTGCGACGGAACTTCATTTTGAAAAATGCCATCAATCATGATACATTGGGGTGCCTTCAATCTCTTATGATACTGTGAAACACCTCCCAGGAAAGTACCTCCACCTCCAAAGAAATTCAGAATTCAGACATTCAGAAATTTAAGCAAAACTCCGATTGAGTCGAGAGTATTTTCTTTGTGTCTTTTTCTAAAATTAATTATATACTCTCATCGTATGATTTACCGACAGCAATTTCTATTCGATGTCATTTAACCGGGAAATGGAATATTTCTCCACAGACTGTAGACAAACATTGGTATGAAAGCAAATCGTGACCTTCACAGACCAATGACCGAAAGACCAATGATCTCTTAAAAATAGCAAGGGGAGCAGGCAGATTCACCTTGCAGACGGCGCCATGATCCGCGAAAAACCTCATAAAGTCGTTGCCGCTCTGACGTAGGGGCGTATCTTTATTTTCACATGAGCCTCCTGTCATCTATACAATCACATGCTTTCAATGGCTCATTTGAAAGTAGAGATACGCCCTTTAAGTCAGAGGAACAAAGAAGTGAATCCGAGAATCCACTCAGGGTCTTTAATCGAGTGGTGCTGTTTTTGCAGTGTATGGCATGCAGACAGTTTTACGAAAAGATTCAAGGTCAATAGTATTTGCGGAAAAATAAAATTGAAAACGATGTATAATCGCTGCACGAATCCTTAAACAACTACTATACGGAGCTCATGCATTATCTTGAGCTTGGTGAAAAAAGGATGATCTATGGACCGCGTTAAGCAGAAAGGACCCAAGCCACATCAGCTGTTGCCAAATTTAATTGGGCAATTTAAGTTTTCACGTGAAAACTGTTGAGCGGATTTTCATGCAAATTCCAGTGAATCTTCTCCACAGTACGAGGCAAATTCCTTAAAATTTTCAAAGAAATCCGCACAAACGTTCTCGCGTAAAAAATGAAATTGCCCAGTTAAAATTGGCAATAGCTGATGTGGCTTGGTTCCTTTCTGTTAAACGCGGTTTATATGGGGAATCGCGGTTTTATGGAAAGTTTGCTGATGATATTAGAAGACAGAAACCATTTTTTACTAAGTCAGCAAAAATCAAGTAAAAAGAGCCCCGTTATACACGTATGTAAAATAATTTTCATGACCTTTCAGACGTAAAAAAACGGGCCGCAGTTTTACATGCGGATGTATGTGGGGAGGGGGAGGGGGAGGGGAGGATCATGTCATTTGAACGGAAAAACCTTGTCATCGGGCACAGCGATGAAAGTTTTGTAAGCATATGACAAACAACAAATACTCGAATTCTACATTTTCACCAAACTTGACCCAAAATTTCGCTCTTCTGAGAAATCGGCCTCCATGCACCGATTGAGGTACACTTTTCCAAGGTCGGTCACTTACACTGCCGTGCTGAGGAAAAAAGCCTCGTAAGCTTTCAAACGTTGCCAAATTTCCTTTGATAAATTACGATTATTCTGAGAAACTTGCAAAAAATTGCCTTCCTTTTTTTTCTTTTCTTTTCCGAGAGAGAGAACTTCGTATTTTAAAACCCGCAATATCTAGAAGAGTAATGGATCACAACTTTCCTCAAAAATGAATATTTTATAAGAAGGGGATTTGATAGCATTTCAATGTTTAAACGGCGTTTTCTCTGGGTACAGCAATATACCCAGAGTACCTACATAGCGAGAGTATGGACAGATCGCTTCATCGAGAGCTCAGGGCCCAAAAGTGCAGCCATTCTTCTAACCAAATTCTATCACAAAATTTCACTGCTAGTCTGCAGATTTCAATTCTAACCAAGATGGCCAGGAATGTACATAAATAAGCATTTTTCCGAGAAAATGAGTAAAAGTATGCAAAGACTAAGTCAAATACGCGCTTTATAAACGACCGTTCTTAATAATTGTACCAGTAAATCGCTCTGGATAATTGAAATTCATAGGTTGGCTGCATTTCTGGGCCCTAACTTTGTTCGCAGAGGCATCGATGAAGGCCTTATGGATTTTCGGAGTTTCACATCTGTCGATACAGTAGACTCTGGATTATCCGGCTTCGTATTATCCGGATCGATTTTGCAACCATGTAACTACGTACGCATTCCGATAAGTGAGCGGATTCGCGGAGAAGCGGTCGCAAGGCATATTGGCGCCTGCAAGGCTGAAGGAATACTTCAAGCATTGCGCCAAACAGTGAGGTCGGCGTGGAACGCATTAGCCCGTTGCCTACGAGAATAGAGAGGCCGTAACTACGATTCTGTGACGTCACGCTAGTAGATGAAACTCGGCTGCGATTTAACATGTGTTCTTATGGGAGAACGCATGGCACATGTTCCTTTTGTGCTAATATCTTTTCAGGGGTTGATCTGATGCAAACATTCATAAGAACCATTTTGAAAGAAGATAAAATTTCACATCAGAAAACTGCCTAGTTCATAAATTACATTGTCTGATAATTGAGGAAATAAAAGCTAAACACGACTAAATACCGAAAATCGTTACCCCTCTAAGATTCAAACGCGCCGCTCATGCAACTTCGGCCGATCGACGGCGGCTCTGATTGGTTAACACGGCGATTACTCTACTAGTTTGACGTCACGAAACCGAGTAGTTACGGCCTCTCCATTCTCGTAGGCAACGATTAGCCTACTAGATTGCATAAATACTTCTCGCATTACGCCAAACGCAGTGCAGTCGGTTAGTTAGCCTAAAACGCACATTATCGGCTACAAGGCTGCATGAATACTTCACGCATTGCGCGCTTTAATCGTTGTATTGTAAATTATCGTTGTCGGCTACCATTCACAATCACCATTGAGTCGTTCAGTTTGGCGTTAACCTTTTAAATTCGTGTTGGTATGTACATGATGTATACATAATAAGAATACTGTGGTGTTGGTTGGTGGTGTTTGTGTTTACCATTATTATCCGGATTTCTTTTTCCGGATCGGGCCCGGCACCAATTAATCCGGATAATACAGAATCTACTGTACTCTCGCTATATAGGTACTCTAAATATACCCAAATCAACACCTACAGGTATTAAGCGAAATCGCTTTTAAACGCGCGCAGGTTCAAAGATCTGAAACACTCGCAAAATTTGTCACGTGCAATAAAGTGCTCTGAAATATGAAACGCCGCGAGTCGCGAGATAAAATCCGAAGGCGACATACCCTCTGAAAGCACGTAGGAAGAGAACCCGGTCTGAGGCACGGAGCGGCTGTTGGGATATACCTGTGCGCGTATACGTTTCAATACAATCATTCATTAGGGGAAGATTAATAATGAGCCCGTGACGTTTTCCCGGGGAGGAGGCGGGGGAGGCGTGATGTAATATGAACGGGTGCAGAAATAGCCCTGGGATCATATTAGTTCAACGCCCTCACCAATGTTTTAGTTGCCAGATTTTTCCAACAGCACGGATTTCATCAGTGGTTTACCTTGTAATTTCCCGCCTCCGTGGGAGTGAGATGCGCTGGAACATGGATTTCACATCACCAAGTTGTTTTTAAAACATTAGCGATCGTTTTATCAGTCTACATTTAAACTATTATGGGATGTTTGCGGAAATTCTGAGGGGTTTAGATTTGAAGCAGTGAGAACGAAAACGCACCAACTCGAAAAAATTAAAATAATCAAGACATACACAAACCTGCACATTAGGAGAAGAAGTTAGTCTAAAAAAAAGATTGTTGGTGCCT